CAAAGATACATTGCAGTCAGCAGGGACTGCCATATCAATTTGGAGGCATCGTTATTGTTGGTGGTCTTTAATAACAATATCTGGCCGGTTGGCCTTGATTGTTCTGTCAGTGTGTATTGTCTAGTCTCATAGAATTGTAACAGGTCCTATCTCCGTAACCGGGTCTGGGTGGTGTTCATACCAGTTTCTTTCAGTTTCCTTCCCGTAGAAGTTGCAGATTTTCCAGTGCAGATATTGGCCCACTCTGTCATGTCGGGTTTTATATTCAGTGGGTGCCAACACCGTACAACCTGATACAAGATGATCATTTCTGGATATTTATCACAGAATCTGCATTTTGGGCTGACACAATATTTTAGTATATGTGCTTGATAATTCCTAGTTAGCAAGCATTGGTCCTGCGCAGCAAGGATAAAACCTTCAGTTTCAGCTTTCAACCCTGCACTCCGTAGCCACTGATGGGTACGGGTTTTGTCTACGTCAGCAGCTTGTTTGGTACGGGCAGAGTATTGGCCATGAAGCGGTTTATCTTGCCATCGCTTCTGTATCTGGTCGGTTGCATTCGTCTTTGCTGTCTTTTTTAGGTATTTTGCAGTTTCAGCCGGTTTATTGTGCTGTAGTTGCATCTCTACGCACATTTGAAACTCATTATTATTATTATTATTATTATTCTACAACCATCAAACTTTGTAGATCCATGCATTTTTTGGATCGTTGCAAATAGAAAACAGCAGAAGACAAATAGAAGAGACGAAGAAAAGCCCCAAAAGATGAAGCTCTCCAACCACTGAACTTTTGGACTTCTGTGCGCTGGCTGTGGACGTCTCTTCAGATTCAACATAGGAGCCATTTCACGCGGAAGAAAATGGCGATGAGCACCCGAATAGTCGGCAACGCGTTCTGCCAAACGACGATGATATATATATATATATATATATATATATATATATATATCGCAGAGCCGAGTTCGAATTCCAGTCGAATCCATTACATTCACTTACGTGCTAATACCCTTGGGAAAGGTATGAATTTCTCTCCCTCCAGCTATAGGTAAAATAGCAGGACAGACTGGGTTCTATAGCCTTGGATGGCAACTGGTCTAGGAGAGGACAACTCTGAATTCAAAACCTGAGTGGCTCGTTTGGGACCTTGTGGCACGTAGCGCACCAGGTCTCTGAATTTGGACCTTCAAAAAAAAAAAAAAAGTGTGGATGGTCCTGCACAAGCCTTCACCATTATAATCAAATCTCATATTGGTGTGTCGGGCTGTCGTTCCTAGAAACTGATCTGCTTGACCCTCATACGTCGAATTTCGACGCGAGTCGACTATATATATATATATATATATATATATATATATATATATATATATATATATATATATATATATATATATATATATATATATATATATATATATATATATATATATATATATATATATATATATATATATATATATATATATATATATATATATATATATATATATATATATATATATATATATATATATATATATATATATATATATATATATATGTGTGTGTGTGGCTAAATCAGTAAAAGCACGTCAGATTATATGATGGTTTATATTCGCATAGGATAGAGGTTCGATTCCTGTGGGAGAACGAATATTTTCTATGGAAATTTCTCCGACATTCAGGCCGGTAAATGTTGTTTAATACTGTTTATTATAAAACAGAGCATTTACTTAAATATTTGCATCTGTAAAAGGAATGAATAAACATAAAAAAATTTCTTAAAATAATTGGACTTTGTCCATTTCATAATGTGTGACGTAATTTATTTACATTTGGATACGCATCGAGCAGATACGATTGTACGAGAGAAAATTATGGCAGATTGTAGTTTAAAAACAGTAAAATCGACCTTGCTGACAAAACGCTCCTCTGTGGCTAAATCGGTAAAAGCACGTCAGGCTATATGACGGTTCTGTGTAGGATACAGGTTCGATTCCTGTCGGAGGACGAATATTTTCTATGAAAATTTCTCGGGCATTTAGGCCGGTAAATGTTGTTAATACTGTTTATTATAAACAGAGCATTTACTTAAAGATTTGTATCTATAAAAAGAACGTATAAACATAAAAAATGTCTTATTATATATATATATATATATATATATATATATATATATATATATATATATATATATCTTCGTCTTGGGCTAACAGAAACAACCAGTAAGCTCATGGTCTATAGTGCCTGTAGTAATCTCGAATCTGTCGGAGGACGAATATTTTCTATGAAAATTTCTCGGCATTTAGGTTGGTAATGTTGTTAATACTGTTTATTATAAACAGAGCATTTACTTAAAAGATTTGTATGTATAAAAAGAACGTATAAGCATAAAAATGTCTTAATATATATATATATATATATATATATATATATATATATATATCTTCGTCTTGGGCTAACAGAAACAACCAGTAAGCTCATGGTCTATAGTGCTGTAGTAATCTCGAATCTCGTGTGCGCATATGAGACCTGTGTACTTTTACAAAAGAGACATCGGCAAACATGAAAGTTTCCATCAAATGAAACTTTGTCAAATCCTGTGGAAGGCGTGACAGGACTGGATCACGAACCATAAAGTTCTCCTCCGCGCAAAGATGGAGAGTCTAGAGACCATCATGACTCGTCACCGATGTTGATAAGCCGGACACCTTGACCGAGTGCAAGACATCGGTCTACGCAAACAAATCCTCTTCTCAGAGCTCGCATCTCGGACCAGAGACCACGTAGAGACCTACGTCGTCGATTCAAGGATCAGCATAAAAAACACCATGCTGAGGATAGAAATTGAACCGGTGAATTGGGATACGAAAGCTGCAGAAAGAAGCAATTGGAGAAGGGAACTCCACGAAAAAAACATCTTTGGAAAACACCAGAAGAAAGGAAAAGTGAGGTAGACAGGCTCTGAAATACGTGTTCTAAGGAAATATTTTTGGCCGAGCCTACGGGTTCAGAGAACCCACGGTAAACTCGGCCTTGTGCCACATACATCCCTCACAGGGGGGTGCTGTTAATTATTAACAGTCGACTAGATTGTTCATCTGTCGAATTCTGCCTTGAGCAGAGACGAACCCGGACGATTCTTTGCCAAACGGCAAATTTTCGTCCGGAGAGGTAGACTGGCCCTGAACCCGTTTATGCAGGTCCTAAGGAAATATTGTTGGCCAAGCCTACGGGCTCGGAGAACCCACGGTAAACTCGGCCTTGTGCCACATACATTCCTCTGGGAGGGGGTGCTGTTAATTATTAACAGTCGAATAGTTTGAACGCTGGGACAACCTACACACACTCACTAGTCTTATGATGTACTTCCTATTTAATATATGATATATCTGCAACACTTGTTTTGTTATTTCTTTAACTATTTACTTGGTCACAACAGTAAATGACGTTATTTCTTGAACTGTTTTACAGAACTTAACAACATTAGAAAAAGAATATGTTCAATAATTTTGAACGTATTATAACTATTTTAAAATTAATTTTTGGTGTCTAATTATAAATATATATATGGTCGACCATGAGGTTCAAGCAGATCAGTTCCTAGGAGCCGACATCCCGGTAGCAGCACATGAGAATTTGTTTATAGTGGTGAAGGCTTTGTGTAGAACCGACCTCGCTTTTTGAAGGGCCGAATACAGTGACCTGGTGCACTAAGTGCCACAAGGTCCCCAAACGACCCTTCACGGGTTTTGAATTCAGAGTTGTTCTTCTCCTAGACCAGTTACCATCCAAGGCTATAGAACCCAGTCTGTCCTGCTATTGACCCATAGGGAGAGGGTATTAACATGTAAATGAATGTAATGGATTCGACTGGGATTCGAACTCGGCTCCCCGATTCCTCAATCCAAGCCGCTACCACTACTACACCGTGCCCTCTCTCTCTCTCTCTCTCTCTCTCTATATATATATATATATATATATATATATATATATATATATATATATATATATATATATATATAATTGTCGGACTTTGTCCATTTCATAATGTGAGGTCATTTGTTTACATTTGATACGCTATGAGCAGTTATGAATGTACGTGTGAGATTCATGGAAAGTTGAAGTTTATAAGCAGTAAATTCATTCTTGCCACTCGAACTATCCTTTGTGGCCGAGCGGTAAGGCACTTCAGGCTATATGACGGTTCTGTATAGGATACAGATTCGAATCCTGTCGAAGGACGAATATTTTCTATGAAAATTTCTCGGACATTCAGGCCGGTAAATGTTATTTAACACTGTTTATTATAAAAAGAGTATTTAATTAAATACTTGTATCTATAAAAAGAATGTTAAACGTAAAAATGGCTTTGAATATTTATTAGTGTTCAATGATTATCCTTGATTTTATTTTGTTGTTATGATGGGAATAGAAATTTATTGGGTCATTTTTATTAGTTGATTTTCGGTTTTGAGTTTATGTCAACGCGGTGTAACATGATATCAATGTTTAGTTTGTCTACAAGATCCGGTAAATCATTATAGCGGGGATATATTAATAGAGAATCATCAGTATAATGGAAGTAAGTAAATTGTTTAGGTAACACATTTTGAAAGGAACAGATTCAATAAATTCTAAGAAATATATGTCATTACTCTACTAAGAGGTGATCCCATTGGCAATCCAAATTGTTATTTGTAAAAATTGTTATTGAACGTGAAATAGCATTAATTAGTCATGAGACGGCAGATTTTTATTTTATTTAACAAAATCTATATTAGCAGAGAAAAACGTTTGACGAGGTAAGCATGTAATACAGCGTGACAGGTTTTGTGCTTTCTGAAGTAGATACGCTGGGTTTTACATAAAGATATAATTACAGATAGAGGAAGAAAATTTGAACAAAGTATGCATTATGGCGCGCGTTTTAAATTCTTTCCATTTGCTTCGAAAACGAATAGAGAGAATTAAGAAGACTTTAGGAGACTGCCCCCCCCCCACAAAAAAATCTTGATATTATCGGGAAAATGGATAGATAAATTGACTGATGGGTAGACACAGAAAATAATGGCAGGAAAAGAAGAAGAAAAAACATCCTGAAGAAGGCAATGATTTATAAGGCGTTACCCGGCTGGAAAGAAGATAGGGGTGGGGTGAAAATAAAAAAAGAAAGAAAGAAAATATGGAGACATGTCTAGGAGGTCAATCATTTGGTGGGGGGGGTCTATTAAATCAGAGGCTATGGAGGCGGAGATGATAAGTACGAAGAAAAGTAATAGTGTCAAGATAACCATAAACATTTACAAAATAAAATATATATATATATATATATATATATATATATATATATATATATATATATATATAAATAGAGTAGATAAGTTGGTCATTAAAAACAAAGTCAAACAAAGGGTACCTATGAAATCAGGTGACAAAAAATGAAGCATGGAGATTGAGGTTCCACATTCGGCATTTTCGAACACGCCCGTGTTCTCCTTTTTTCTAATTATATATATATATATATATATATATATATATATATATATATATATATATATATATATATGTGTGTGTGTGTGTGTGTGTGTGTTTTTCTGTGTGTGTTTTTCTGTGTGGATGTGTGGCGTGGTTACAGATAGATAGGAACACATATCTCATATAGATACGAACACATAGATAGATAGGAACAGTGTGTTATAGGAACTAGATAGATGTATATCTTATATACTCATTTCTATGTCGGCTTATTATATAGTGAGCACGCAGAATTTTTTAGCATAACTTTTAACCCCTCAAGAAAAAATGACCTTAAATAGTACAAGCGATGATTTTAACCACATGAAAAAATTACTTGCGTATAGTGAGAACTCCTATTTCTGTGTAAAAAAAATTGATCATAAAAGGTCGCATTATACTTGGGTATAAATGATAGATAGATAGATAGATAGATAGATAGATAGATAGATAGATAGAATATGAACAGATTGAGATAGGTAGATAGATATGAACAGATTGATATAGACAGATATAGATAGATAGATATGAGCAGAATGAGATAGACGAATAGATAGATATGAACAGAATTAGATAGATAGATAGATAGATAGATAGATAGATAGATAGATAAGAACAGAATTAGATAGATAGATAAATATGAACAGATTGAGATAGGTAGATATATATGAACAGATTGATATAGACAGAGATAGATAGATAGATAGATATATAGATAGATAGATAGATAGATATGAGCAGAATGAGATAAATAGATGGATACATAGATAGATATGAACAGAATTAGATAGATAAGAACACAATTATATATATATATATATATATATATATATATATACATACATTTATTCTGTAAATGTTTATGGTTATCTTGACGCTTTTCTTCGTACTTATCTTCTGCTCCTCCATAACCTGATTTAATAGACCCCCCACCAAATGAATTAGATAGATAGATAGATAGATAGATAGATAGATAGATAGATAGATAGATAGATAAGAACAGAATTAGATAGATAGATTGTCCGAGGAACACTGAGTCTGTTCTCACGAAGAACGTGAAATTTATTCTTGCGAATAATTATAAAAAGCGAATCGGAAACTAAAGGAAAAGAAACGAGACAAAAAGTTCCACGACTCATTTTTACCTCCACGGATTCTTGTCACAATTGGAAGACCAACGAAACATTTTAATAAAACTCTAAAAACATAAATAAATAAAGATAGAAAGAAAACAGCCAAACATGATTCTACCAATTATTTGGAAGGGAAAAATCAACCAATTCTAACACAAACGCTTAGCACAATCCGAACAACTTCAAATCAACTGTATATAAAGCAAACCGTTGGGTCAGTCACGTGAGGAAGCGAACCAATGTTACATGAACGTAAGTATTAACAGGAAGCGAATTGGATTCACAATTTTGTAATGTTCATCTGTGTTCGAGGTTTTTATAAGCATGTACGGTAATTCGTTTACCATTGTGATCGGCAAAGACTATAGCGAATGCCAATGGCCGATAACCCCGGACGAATTAATTATCGCAGTTTCGCCTCGAAACGTGTTTTATTTATTTTTTTGACCTAAAAAAAAAAAAATGAAAATAAATAAAACCTCTCTAGACTGCATTACGAGTTGTTTATTTTGACTCATTGTCTTTTTGTTTTTCTTTTCTGTATTTTTTCTTCTTTTTTTTTTTAATTAGCTAAAGACATATACACAATTCATCCCAGAAAAATAATCAAAAACAAGAAAAAAAAACAAAACAAACAAACAAACAAAACAAAAAACAAAGTAATAAATTCGACCTGATAACGGTCAAACAAGAACGTAGACGATCATGGCTCAACCCAACGCCCTGTCTTTTATAGCTCTTAGTAAAACTTGTCTTTTTTGCTATCTCTCCCAGATGAAACTCTGTTCTGGCAACAATTTACATAAGTTCCTTAGATAGATCATGCGCTGTTTCAATCAGGATTCGCAGCTATATACTCTTCTTCTTCAATGTGCTATGTCTCTTCAGGACTTTGGCCATCGTGTCTCTCTTTAACTTGCTCTCCTTTTTCGTTCTTAATAAATTGTATCTTTTTATATCTCTCCTAAACGCCATTTTGCCATCCATTTACACTCCTTCTATTCCTTCTATTTCTACCTCTTCTTCTTCTTCTTCTTCTTCTTCTTCTTCTTCTTCTTCTTCTTCTTCTTCTTCTTCTTCTTCTTTGTATCGTGTCCTTCATGGCGTAGGCAATCATGGCTCTCCACAACATTTCTAACTGTTACTAAAATTTCTCTTTTGTTATCTCTCTTAAAAACTGATGTGTCGTCCATTTATCCAAGCTCGTTCTTATCTATCTATCTATCTATCTATCTATCTATCTATCTATCTATCTATCTATCTATCTATCTATCCGAGTCTGTTCGTATCTATCTATCTATCTATCTATCTATCTATCTATCTATCTCAGTTTGTTCATTATCTATCTATCTATCTATCTATTTCAATTTCTTTGTTTTTCTTTGATACCAAAACTCATCCAATAAAAGGCTCGAGCACTACTCAAGTAGGGGCTTACTAAGCAAGATAGTAATGACGAATAAAGTGTGTGATATAAATGAAAAATGAGTATAAGTAGAACAGACAATTATTACCCCTTGACTTGAAGAGGCTAACATTCTAGTTTCAGGAGAGTATCCAAGCGGGAGTTTTTTTTTTTTTTTTTTTTGTTAACTAGGTCGTTTCATATGAGTTTCTCCATTTCCATATTGGTTTATCAAGTGTCTTGTGAGGGAGAATATTTCCCTACAATTTTGGACTCATCCGTCGAACGAAAGACATAAAAATCTTTTCGGGACGTGGGCAATCATGGCTCTCCACAACGTTCTCTCATTTCTAACTCTTAGTAAAATTTGTCTTTTTGCTATCTCTCCCAGATGAAACTCTGTTCTGGGAACAATTTACATTAGTTCCTTAGATAGATCATGCGCTGTTTCAATCAGGATTTGCAGCTATATATTCTTCTTCTTTGTGCCATGTCCCTTCAGGACTTTGGCCATAGTTGGCTTTAAGTTGCCCTCCTTTTTCCTTCTTAGTAAATTGTATCTTTTTATATCTCTCCTAAACACCTCCTCCTCCTCCTCTTTCTACTTCTGTCTCTTCTTCTTCTTCTTCTTCTTCTTCTTCTTCTTCTTCTTCTTCTTCTTCTTCTTCTTCTTCTTCTACTTTGTATCGTCTCCTTCATAACGTAGGCAACCATTTCTAACTGTTAGTAAAATTTCTCTTTTGCTATCTCTCTTAAACACTGATGTGTCGTCCATTTATACAGGCTCGTCCTTTTTCTTTAATGAGCAATGTCCTTTCGGGACGTGGGTAATCATGGCTCTCCATGACGTTCTCTCATTTCTAACTGTTAGTAAAATTTCTCTTTTGCTATCTCTCTTAAACACTGATGTGTCGTCCATTTATACAGGCTCGTCCTTCTTCTTTCATGAGCAATGTCCTTTCGGGACGTGGGTAATCATGGCTCTCCACGACGTTCTCTCATCTCTGTCTCTTAGTAAAATTTGTCTTTTTGCTATCACTTTTAAATACTATTTTTGCTATCCATTTACACGAGCGCGCTCTATACGTTCCGCGCTGCCATTTTAATTGCAATATATTTCATTGGAGAACCACAGAAAATATACGAATGATGACAAAAAATGTTAGGGTTCCAAATCTACTTCTCAATATAGTCTTCTTCTTTCTCTATTGTGGTGTGAGATTCTGTCGAAAAGTAATGCCCATTATTCTTCAATTCACCCAGCTTTAAAAACACACCCAAATGTTTACACGAGACATAAGATTCTAAATCTCGTTTCTGTTCTCGTCTGTACGTTCTCAAGTACCGTATTTTCCGGCTAACAAGACACTGCGGCTTGGAAGACGCACCTTAATATTGAAAAGAAATTTCTAAAAAAAAAGTCATTTTCATACAACAACACATTCACCTTGAGTCCCTCACATAATGGCGTCATGTATTGTTTACATTAATCACTCGTTTGATTTTTTGTTTGTATGCCAATGACATACTAGTCAAGAGCAGAAAGGTTCCCACCGCTGCTCGTAAACAGAGCATTTTAAGCTTGTGGCTCGGCTCCAGGAAGGTTTATAATCTTGGAAATACTTGTAACAGATAAGTACTGAGGTTTCATCATATAAAAGGCTGAATTAGATAGATAGCTAACATTATAGTGTAATGACTCAACATAGAAATCCACGTTCGTATCAGTCAAGCTAATTAGGTGACAATCCAAGCTTACTTGAGCCTGGGCGTTGCCTTAAATTCGTCTTGGAAGACGCACACGTATTTTACAGAGCATTTTTTAAGAAAAAAGTCTGTCTTGTAAGTCTAATACATAAAACTGGTAACTTTTATTCTTTAATATTGCATAAGTACTAAACTATACATTCTGTGAGAAAGGTTGTATATGTGTGGGGGATGGAGAGAGAGAAAGACAGAGAGAG